ATTATTATTATTTTTATTGTTATTATTATCATCATCATCATCATCATCATCATCATTATCCTTATTATCATCGTTGGGCGAGTTTGTAAGTTTTCATAATATTTTTCTCCTTTCCAGGTGTCTTAACTGGCGTTGGTAGCAGAGTCTGACATGGCCATACAGCGCAAAGGCTTCGGGTAACACTGAGCATGAAGTTGAGATCGGAATACATATCAGGCAGAGCAAGATGGCTGAAGGTTTGTCCTCCCGTCCTCAGGGGCAGCCTTTTCCTGCGATTCGGTGTCGTTTCCATGCTGTCAGTCTTCATCATCGTCGTCTATTTTACCTGCGCTTCTTTCGACTCAACTCCAGCGGAGCTGGTGGAAACGTCGATAGAGGGCAGTCCAAACCAGGGCATCGCTTCCTACGGAAACACGATCGAAGAAAACAAATTCTTCCTTAGTCATGATTCTGTAATTGCTCTGAAACCTGGAGATGGCCTATCCGAACTGGAAGACCAAAGGTCTAATCTGCAGATGGATCAAGGCGTCGACTCGGATGGGGACGTAGATTTCAGTATTTCTGAAACCAGCGTGTTGGAGGAAGAAAAGCCTGCCGTTGTGAAAGCTTCTGTGGACAAAGGGGTAGTGACGCCCAATACAACAAACACTGGTCGTCATGGCATTGCACCTGTCAGATGTGACCCAAGTAAAAAAGTGTCGGAACTGTTTCACATGGTGAGTTGATGGGCTTTGTTCCAGTTATTATTATCTAAAACCGGGCTCATGAAATACAACATTGTCTCCGCCTTAGAACGCTCCAAATAAAACCCAGGTCCGCTTAAGAATGCTTTTTCCGTGTTGCGGAATTTTTTGTCTATTATTTGCATGTTTAAGAAATCCGCCTTAGGACGGGTTTTGAGCTCATGGCTATAAATTTCTGAGCGCTGCTTCACCATACTGTGCGCGGGTTGGGAAGAAGGGAGAGCTTGGCATAGATTAGCAGACAACGAAATCTTCACCCTCTATGTTCACTGACATCACACGTATTTCAGGCTCGTGTGTTTTTCTTAAGAAACAGGTTATCACTTCGACATTTATACCAACATTATGCTACCAGTGCCAGACCTGGACATTAAGTAAAACTACCATTGAAAGCAAAATCACTGCTTGCGAAATGAAATGTCTCCGCAAAACCCTTAACATCACAAGACGAGACGTGCAGAGAAATGAAGAAGTAAGAGCAGCTATGGTTTTTAGTCCTGTCTGCATTTCATTGAAAGGCGGAATAAAAAGGTTTAGCCACCTAGTCCTAGCCACGTATATCACCTAGCCTGCTAGCCTCGAGAGCCTATAACACTGAGCTCTCAGGCTATAAAGGTAGATGACGCAAAGGGTGGATTCAAGGCAATTCTGAGAAATCATAGTATCCTTACTAAGAGAGCTGCGGAGCTGGCCTACCATAGAAAACTGCATCTTCCCTCGACGCTTAACGGCAACAGAGGATGAAAAGGAAATAGTAAAAGTAAACGTAAGTACGTGAGCTCTACAAAACGGTTCAACCAATACGTGGTTTTTCGATTGGTACAATCACTTGCTCCTTTCTGTCTGTCTGTCTGTCTGTCTGTCTGTCTGTCTGTCTGTCTGTCTGTCTGTCTGTCTGTCTGTCTGTCTGTCTGTCTTGTTCCCACAACTCAGTA